TATTAAAAGTTATAGCATGAAAACTATAACAAGCACAAAATGGTTATGAGGTCTGTCCCAGGGACTGAGCCCGTGTCAAAAGAGTTAAGAAGCATACGTCTGAGCTATAAAGTACTGGTAAATGCTAAAAATATAACTGAACATACATCTGATGTACACACTATGCTAAAAATATTATGAAGTGTACACCTGATCTACAAAACACTGGAAAGATTAGATAAATATTTAATGTAATTAGAATCTGTCAAAAATTACATCGTCCTAATGAATATTAAATAAGAATAAATACTGTATCCCAATAAATTACAACAGAAGGGTGTAAATCATATAAAGCACAAACACATACTTACTGTTTAAAAAATTAACCAGCAAGTAGACTTACATCAAGAGATTTGAGAAATCTACAGTGACTGTACAATATCTTTACTGCTGTTCTTCAAGTCATTCTTAGTCATCCTTGTCTTACAAAATACTCACCTCAGCATGAACAATTTTTTCAATGGACTTTATACTAATTTCTCCTCTCTCATTAAAATGTAGAATACTTACCACTCAACATAAAACTTGCATTTTTATCAGTTACTTCATAAGTCTTTATTTCAATCCAAACTAGTAATATAGTAAAAATACAGGAACTCGTCCATGTCCTGATTTTAGACACATGAAATATCCAGATAGAGCTCCATTCTTTATCTTGAACAAATAAATTACCTTCTCTAGCTTTGTTTCAAGCTGTTCAGTAAGTTCTTCATTTTCTTCTACTGCAGCCCTATGAAATAGATGATTTTTTTTATAAAAACAACTCACCTTTTACATTAATAATTAAAATTATGACATGTACCACAGCTAAAAATCATCACAAAGTTATGAGAAAAATTAGCCTTAAAACAGATTCTAAGTTCCTATGTAATAAGGTATACAGGCTGATGTATACACCAGTGTACAGATTTACCACACATGACCAAGTCCATCAGCTACTGGTACCCTTATGAAGCTGACAGAACTTAAATGATTTCAAACACTTACAAAAGTGAAGCACCTAAAATACAGAGGTTAATGTAGAGCATTACTTAGACAAGTAAGATAACTACTTTTATATGGTAACATTTAAAGTGACCTTAATCCATCATTTAAGTGCAACAAACAGTGCCCAATACTCAAATGCTGTCAGATTTTATGACCCCAAAACTGGCTGGCAGCTTGCCAAGATCATCTGTCTGTCTGTAAACACAGGAGGCACTAGTGTCAATAATCACAGTAAATTGCAATAACTATGACACTTTAAAGACATAACAATTTTAATTTTACAGGGGTTAAAGTCCTTGTTTCAGCTCTAACATTCTCAACAGGATATTGCCTTAAAAACCATAAAACTTTCTAGCACTATATATATTTCAAATTACATCAGAAATCAAAGTTTTATGAAACAAAAAATAAAAACATACAGAGCAAAAAACAATCTTTATCAAAATAATTAAAAACTTTCACTAACAAAAATAAGTATTCTGATGTACCATAGTTCAACAGACTTCAAAACAAGTTTATAAACAAAGTCTATGCTAAAATAAGTAATGTTAGTGTATTACGCATATAATGCTTGGAGACGGCTTGAATGTATAATGAAGAAAAACTTTA